TAATGAAATAAAGACCATATGAGAAGTTAGAAATAATATGAAATAAAAATATTAAATTTCAGAAACATGGGGCTGGGGATTTAGCTCAGCGGCAATAAGCGCCTGCTTTGCAAGCAGGCAGTCATGAGTTCGATCCCTGGTACTGATAAAAAGAAAAAAAGACAAAAAAAAAATTTCAGAAACACAAATGAAGCACTGTCTACAGGGAAATTTACAGCATTAAATGTCTACGCTGGAAAAGAAAAATCTCCAATCGGTGATACAAAATTTTAATTTAAGGTATTAATAAAAGGACAAAGTTCACCATAAGCAAGATGGAAATAAAAATAAGACTATAAATACAAGATATAGAGAAAAATCAATGAATCCAAAAGCTGGTTTCTTTAAAAGATACAATAAAAGGGAAAAAGGCAGACAGATACAAATTACCAATATTACTAGCTTTGTAAAGTACGTAAAACCTTCATTTTGAAATCAAGTAATTCCTAAAATCTCAAATTAAGAGTTTGCTCAACTTCATATAATATAGCCAGGGTTTGATTCCAGATATGCAGCTAGAAAATCCTGAATCATCTCAACTATATTTAATTATCTTTTTTTGAGCTTGAGGACAAAAAAAAAAAAAGAAAAATGTGGAAAATAGTTTCATTGACCATACTCTAATATGGTTTCCAAGAATAATATTTATGCTACTTCATATTAGAGACTTAAAACAGCATATCTGGACTTCGACATATTACCTAGTTGTCTAATTATGAAAATATTCATTTGTTGTTCACAAATACTCTAAATCATTGGAATTCACTTCTATATTTAAAAACTGTCTACAACAAATTACTACTTACATTTTGTCAAGGAAGAAATTAAAGATGTTACTTCTATATTAGACACTTAGATCAAATATGTTGATCTTATTAAATTATATAAATTCTTTTTAAAAAGAACTTTAAATGTTAAGTCGTAGGAAAATAATTCATTCTTTGTCACTTAATAATTCAAGCAAGGAGGATAAGGAAAAGATTTAAAAATTAAATAAACCTCCTATCTGCATCCTCTAACAAGATAACTATTATTTTGGCGAGTATGAAATTTTCTACATGTTTATTTCTTATTTTAAAACGAGAATAATTTATTTATCTTATTATAATTTCTAGTTGGCACAACAGAGACCTAAGACTAATAATCTTACAACACTAAAATCCTGGCACTTAGAACATTTATGGTTTTGAAACATTTAAAAAGTTAGAATTTGTGACAGAGGCATATGGATTAGAAGAGCTCTAATACTGAGGACATGTCAACATGCAAGCTTTTTTCTTTCGGATGCTTTACAATCAAAAATGACAAGTATTATGCCAAAAAAATATGAATTTGTTTCCATTACATAACATTCTAAACTACCTTCAAAAAATAGCAAAACACAAATTAAGAAAAATAAAACCATCTAGCCTGTTCATTGTATTTAACCTGAATCTTAAACTGACTCTGAAGAAAATTACGAACTTCTCAATGCTCAAAGCATTTTAAAAAACTTTCTCACTTTTTTCAAGCAGTTTGTCATCCTAAAGTAGGCCAAAAGGCAATTTTAAATGCACTTGCAAGGGGGTCTGTAATTCCATAGTAAGAAAGAATCCCTGAAGAGATTCCAAAATGTTTGCTATTTATTATGGTTAAAGGACAAAAACTGCATTTCCTACTTGTCATTTCCTTCTTCTTTGCTTCCCTCCTTCCTATGCTTTTATCCGTCACTTTAGACGTCTCTGTCTCTTTCTGTCAATTTTTTAAACCAGCCACTCCTTTTAAGGGTCCTGTATTCACAGCATCATCATCTCGAATTGATATTAGTATCTTTCAGGAGCTTCTCTTCACTCCACTTGCTTCCACTGTTGTTACTACATCAATTTCTCTTCAAATCTACTGAACAGCCTCTTACTTCAAAATAGAGATTAAAATCTCCACACCTTAGCAGTACAGTGGGCCCTTTATATCAGGCCCGCAGTTGTTAGGAAAGCCAGTCTTTCCTGTCAACTCTCTCTCTTACCATAACACACCAAATGTACCCAGTAATAATAAATATCACAGTTTAGTATGCACTTTCCATAGAAGACTTATTATATTAACTTATGCACTAAGTACTGTTCTAAAGCATTTAACAAATAACTCAATTAATAGTTATAACATTGCTATGAGACAGGTGCTGTATTATTATCCTGATTTTACAGATGAGCAACCCTAAGAACACTAGGATTCCCACCCACTCACAGCTAGTAGGAATGGAAAACTGCCAGTTCCTCAAAGTATCAAACATAAAATCACCATATAATTCAGCAATTTCATTCCTAGGTATACAGCCATAAAAAATAAAAACATATTCCACCCAAAAACTTGAAACTTGTATTCGAAAGGTCATATCATTTTGATATAAGTTTTTTATAATTGCCAAAAGGAGAAGCAACATCTATCAGCAGACAAATGGGTAAATCAAATGTGGTACACAGATATTATGGAACATTCTTTGCCCATATAAAGAACTAAAGTACTGATTCAGCTACAACGTGGATGAGTCGTAAAAATATACTAAGTGAATGAAGCCAGTCAAAAAGATCATAAATTAAATGATTATTTTTATAAGAAATGTCCAGAAAAAGCAAATCTATAAACAAGAAGTAGACTAGTTGTTGCCTATAGGTGATTGTTATAGATTAAAAACTTGTGGTCAACTTAACATCAGCTGAATTAAATCAGCATGGTGCTGAGCATAGATGTTCCACCCTGAGGAAGTTGCCAGCATAAATAGAGACGTGGAGAAGTTGTTGTTAAGCACTGTGGGTTTCTCTAAGTGTTTCTGTTTTTTGGTTCTCCTGGAGGAGCTCATCATGAGTAACCTCTCCAGTGTGAGTTCAACCACTGTCATCGGAGGAGCTCAGGACCTTGTTGGTGAGAGTGACTGTGGTTCACTTTGGGGAGCTCTGGTCCTTACAGCAAGCATCATTTCCTGGCTTTGGAGGGAAAGACGTGTGCCATTTAATGTCAAGGACAAATTTGTCAGGCTGGCTTCCTGGCTTTCAACTGTTCTTATTGTCAGAGGAGCTCGGAGCCTCCATGTCGCTGAGGAGGGCTGTGGTGTTTTTTAGGACAGCCCTGGTCTTTATTATGAGCGTAATTTCTCGGCTCCAGTGTAGAACCCTCAAACTACCAGCACAGCTCCTTCACCTGCTGGCACAGCCTTTCCAGCTTCCACTGCTGACCTTTGGGCCTTCCCAGCATGGATCCATACAACAGATTAGCATGAGTCCTTCTTGTGGGCTCTAGATTTCCAGTTGAACTCATGGGAGGCATTGTCATGAGCTCTGGATCTTCATCTGGACTCACACAGGACATTGCTGTGGGACTCAGGCCCTTGGCTGAATATTCTACGTCTTTAGTGTTATGGATAGATTTCCTGCACTTTCTTGTGTTAAATTTGGGTGACCATCATAAAATAACATTATAAATTCTGTGTCCTGATTAGCAATTTTTTTCTCCTCCCAACCCCTGACTACAACAGTGATGAATGAGGAAATGGGAGCTACTGGGTCATGAGTCTTCTTTAGGAAGTGATGAAAATGTTCTGGAATTAGACAATGATGGTTGCAAAATCTTAAAATATGAAAACTACTGAAATTATGCACTAAAGTACTAGATGATATGGTATGTGAATTATCTCAGTGCTATTACAAAAAGAATAACATATATAACAGCTATGTACTGAAACCATAAAACATGATTGAAATTTCAAGAGATCTAAATACATGTAGATGAATAGTCTTTCATGAATCAAAAGACTCAATGTTAAGATGTTGCTTCTCCCTAGTTAGATCCATAGATTCGATGCAGTTCTATTCAAAGTCCTAGCAGGCTCCCCCAGAAACTGATAGGCTGATTCCAAAATATATAGGAATCTATAAAATTAAAATGGCAAAAAGGGGCCAGGGATTTACTCAGCAGTGCAGCACCTGCCTCAGTTTGAGTCCCAGTACCCTGCTCTCCCCCGAAAAAAAAGATAAACAACCATCAAAACTTGACAAAGTCAGTAAAATTGCAGTATTTAAGTGTTTGGCGTTAAGAGTAGCAATTAAGATACATCATACTGACCTAAAGAAAGATACCGATTAATGGAACAGAATAGAAAGATACAGATTAATGGAAAGATACAGACTAGTGGAACAGAACACACAGCTCAAGAAAAGGCCATGAATAAATTGATAATTCATTTTCAGTAGGAAAGCCAAATACAATATAATAATGGCAACTTTAATAAGGCAAGGTGAACCAAGTGAAAAATAAAAGCCAGAGAGTGGGAAAAGTCAGAAAAATAGAACCTGCACATAATATTTTAAGAAAGAACACTATGGATCATTCCTTTGTCTTTTCCCTACAGGAAAGTTTCAGTAACTTACAAGGAAATTATCAGGTGACACCAGGGTACTACGGTTCATTAGTTAATTTTATATGCTCACCAGATTTTGAAATCTCAGAAAACATTCATTTTCTAAGGTGACTACTACTGACACCTCTGTACCATTATGAAAAATGTTTAGCAGGAGGGACAGATAGACCGTTTCCTATCCACTGTCTTGGCATTAAACATTTCTTAGATCAATACTATCAATCCCAAATCATTTGGGCAAGAAATTTTTAACACAAAGTGAAGCCAGAAATCAACTCCTTCCTGATAATACCAGGCAAGTAGCCCAGGACTGTAATGCCAGCACCCTGAAAGGCTAAGGTAGAAGGATTTCCTGTCCAGCCCTGCTTGAACTTAGTGAGATCCTATCTCAAAATTTAAAAAATTTTGGGCAGGTAGTTCAGTATAAAAGCAAAAAAGAAAAGGAGGAGGAGGAGAAACAGGAGCAAGAAGAGGTGATGAAACGATAATGACAACGACTACGACTACGACTACAACGAAGACGAAGAAGAAGAAGACACATATGGGAACAAGATGACCAGAGAACACTCACCTCTTCCACAAGAGACCGGTACTTGCTGTTACTGCAGATGCTCCCAAGAAAGCCACCACCATCAGTCTTCGCCTGGTCTGGGCAGGCTGTGATGCTCCATGGTACCATCGAGAAGCCACAGCCAGCTCGGCCAATGCAGAAAGTGAGTTAAGACGAAACATCCTGTGGACAAAAAGGAGAAATACATCACTCCCAGCTAGCAGCTGTGGTGGCAGCGATGATGCTCTCAACATCACCAACAAACACTAAGTACTACTCTATGGCAGCGCTATTCTAAACACATTGCATGCATTATCCTGTTTAATCCTCAGGACACTATAGCAATGTACTGCTATGTATCAAAGAAAAGTTACAAGACACAACCACATGGTAACCTCAACAAGCAAGTTTAATATGAAATATTACTAATTACTAACAGGAGATTAACTACTCAGACACAGGGACAGCAGGCAGAAACAGCAGCCCCTATTCCTAGGGCTGACATGGAGCACCAAAAAAGAACCACGCCTGTAAAATGATCCCTAGGTGCAGGCCTAGATCTTGTGATAAGGACACAACCATGGCAGTTTGAGAAATCTACACCAGAAGAATTCACTGAAAACCCACTCTCTGTGTCACTGGATCAAGTTATCTGTTGGGAGCGTTCATGCCAATAAAATTTGTTGGGAAGGCAGGCTTTGGGGTATCAAGAAAAGCCACCATGGGAGATGCCACAGTAGTTAATTCCTTGGGAAAGTGGAGTGACAAGGCTACTGCTAAAATTCTCTAGGGGTTGAGTGTCACCAAGTGTCCCACTAATCCCTGCCTGCCAAAGGGACAAAAGCAGTAAAAAGCACACAAGACAAAGTCCTTCCTCCTCCATTGTCCCTCAATACCTACACTGACAAAGTGGAACCATACCTAGAAAGGGGGAAATTTCCAGAATCACAAACACAACAGTGAAAGCTTTAGAGGTAAAAAATAATGGGTTTATAAGTGACATCATCATTTTATAGAGGTAAATCATGACTTACTCAGAACCATGCAGCTTTGGAAATGGTAGATCCAGAATTTAAACCTGGAATGGACTGAATCCAGAGTCTAGGTTTTTATGTAGAAGACTTGGCTAGTTACTATTTTAACTAGAAGATTTTGCTAAATCTTATCTTATAAAGCTGATGTTGCTTTTGCTAATGTAGTCGTAATTTAAGGTTTTTTGTTTGATTTTTATAGTACTAAAGATTGAACCCAAAGTCCTACACTATGACCTTTTCTGATTTTTATGGAAAAAAAGATCATAATCAAATATAAAAGATTAACAATAGTTATTAGACTGCGTAGTGTTGCCTGCAAAGTAGCTATTCTCTACAAGATATAAACCAAAAGTCCCACAAAAAGGAAACATAACTCAAACTTTCTGTTCTTTCTTTCTTTTTTCTTTTTCTTTTTCTTTGTCTTTTTGAGACAGGGTTTCACTATGCAGTTCAGGCTAGTCTTGAGCTCATTTGGTAGCCCAGGCTGGTCTCAAACTGTAAATGATCCTCCTGCCTCAGCTTCCCAAATGCTGGGATTACAGGCGTGAGCCACCACGCCCAGCTCAAATTTTCTTTTCAATAAGCTAAAGTAAACTAGTAGTATAAACTAAACAAATTATCACATTTATTACAGTTTATTCACATCTATTTGAAAACAGAATATGTAATTTGGGGGATCTGAACTTCTCTCTACTTCCTATTTCTCTCTTCTAGTTAGCACTCCTTAGCACTATTTAGCTCTAGAAGGACTGCCATCCTTCTGTAGAACAGGATTGTGCCTCTCATATAAGACAACCATGCGATATTTGAGCTTGCGTGTCTGACTTCACTTAAAATTATGTTCTCAAATTGCGTCCATTTTCCTCAAGTTTGAGAGAATGTCTCAAGTATTTCTTTCTTTATGACATGTATTCCACTGTGTACAATTACTGGTTTTCTTTACACCTTCATATGTTGATAGACAAATAAACAATTTGCAAGATTATAAATTGTGCTACTATAAACATGGGTATGAATATATATCACATATGATGATTTCCCAAGAAGAACTCTTTTGGGAAGATATCTAGAAGGCAGATAGTTGGGTCAACCTGCTCTCCTCTTAAAATTATTTGTTGAGATAGGCTCTCTGTAAGTTGCTCAGTTGCCTTGGGTGGGCTTGCACTGGGCAATCCTCCTGCCTCAGCCTTCCATAATGCTAGTATTTTAGGCACATGTGTCACCACGCCCAGTAGTAGTAAGATTTAATTAAATTTTTCTTACTTCCCAAGCCCTTGGAAACCATTTTGGCCATGTGATTCTTACATACTATACTTAAAACCTCACAAAGAAAAAATTCATTTAACATTTTGTTTTATATCAGAAAAATCTGAGACTTTTTTTTTAACTGAGGATGGCAACAAAACTTAAGTAAATCTCTGCCCTTCTCAAAGCCAAAGCCTTTAAAGACCAAGAAAAGTCATGCTCACAGGCCTACCCAACTACAAAGAGAAGATCTACACATCATCTACTTTCTGGTAGCTCCAAAGATATCCCAAATGCCCTTAGAAGATCACCCCCAAAAGAAACTATACTATCATCCAATTTCCCTTGAACACTGAGTCTGCCATGTGGAAGACACATAACAACACACTTGTTCATCATAAATGTCAAGGCCAATAAGCTTCTAATCAAACAACTTGTCAGGAAGCTTTGACATTGACGTGGCTAAGGTCAGTACCCTGATTAGGCTTGATGGTGTATGTTCAAGTGGCTCCTAATTATGAAGCTTTGACTGTTGCCATATCATCTATGCTGAATCTGGTTTTGTTTTTTGTTCTTTTTTTGTAGCTCCGGCTGGTCTTGAACTCACTAGGTAGCCCAGACAACCCAGAACCTGGATCCTCCTCCCTCACTTCCTGAGTCCTGGGATTACAGGTGTGCACCACATCTGGCTACCAAACTGGCTGATTCTAAACACACATATTTTTTTCACCTTAAAAAATCTGTATTGGTTCATTTTACTGTTCAATAAACATTCACTCTTCCATCCCTCATCCTACAGGCAAAGACTATTGCTGGGGAACAGGCCATGTGATAGGTGGGGAAGGGCCCACCTAATGAATTAAGCTCCCCCCACCTTCTGTCCCAAGGTCACTGTCATCTTGCCTCAGGAACAGGGACACACACACACACTCACTCACACAGAAGGCTGCATGCCCTCTGCCTACAGGCAGAATGCTGGTAACTCAGCATTCCTGAGGCAAGATAGCATCTGCTGAAACAGCTGTCAAAATGCAGGCATCTGGGTATAGAGAAAATCTAGTTCCTGGTTACATATTCCTTATGTACCCCTCAGCCTATGCTTCCTGCGTGTTCATAAAGGTGGATGAGCTGAGAGATTGTTGTGCTTGTCCACTACCAGCAAGTTCCTCCCAGTCCCCTCATACCTTAAATTTTGTCTTTTGTCTTTCTTCACTCCCTGCTGCTCACCCCTCAGGTATCCCAGGTATGATCACACACCACAACCACACCACCACCCCTACAGACTACTTGCTCACTTTTAATTTTTAGTTTTGCCATCTGATTTGCTTTGACCAATGGAACACTGCATGTTAAGTGATAAAGATACTCATATTCTTGTGCTCCTAAGAGATGATCAGATGGCAAAAAGAACTTGATCCTTCAACTTGGATTCTAAGAGACCTCAGCCTGCAACAAACCACTGTCAAGCTCAGCAGGGCCAGTGAGTAAAGATGGCCTGAAAAATCAGTGAGGAAAAACATTTGGTATCATAAACCACAGAGATATGGGGGTTGTTTGCTGCCACAGCAAAAGCTGACTAATTCATCTAAGAGAATTACTGGAAAACTGCCTCTCAAAAAAATGTAGTGCCTCCTCCATTACATCTATGATGGCATGGCTGGCTGGAAGACAGTGACTTCTCACCTGATGGCGGGGCTGGCTAGAAGAATGTAAGACTGATGTGAACCCCAAGGGCGCACAGACACACATACCCACACACCCCTTGGGAGGGCGAAGTAATCAGTGAGGCCAGCAACATACAAGTGTCTGAAGCAGCAGCCAGGAGACAGCAGTTGGACTCTGGAGAGTGCCACAGACAGAACACCAGTGTCAGCCCCACATCCAGAGGCCAAGATCGGGTCCATACCCAGCACGCCTCTGGGATGTAACATGGATATTATCACAGAACTGTAAACACTAGAGATATTTTACAACTTTTATTCTCCCTTGTTTGTCTACATGGTGATCCTTATCTTGCCTGGTTGGATATTATTCAACCAAATGTTTTGTTGTATTTCAAGTTATTTCTTTTGTTTCCTCTCTCTCAGGTCTCCTTTTTCTTTCTTTTTTCTCCATTTTTTTCTTTCTTTTTCATCCTCCTTCTCTTCCTTGTTTTCATGATTTCTTACCTTTCTTTTTTGTTTTCTTCTATTGATCTTCTTTCTCTTTTTCCTCACGTACTTCTTGAATTTAAAATTTCAAGTGAGTTATCATTGTACCTACCCTTTCTAATTATTCCCTTCATCCTTTGACCTCCAATTTTGACTCTACTATATCTGACCTCGCATCATTTTAGCCTATCCCCTACGCACTGAACCCCTGACAACCCTCTACAGAAGGGTAAAATCACTCCACTAAGGGGAAAGCCACTGGTTACCATAGTTAGTCAACAGTTAAGCTATACTTAAAACTATCACTATTACCAACTGTACTATTTTAGCCAGGATGTCATATATATTACAAACTGTTTTTCTCCCATGTATAACACTGATTGTATGGGTTCAAAGTCAGCTCTACAGCCCAGTACTACAGGATTGTGAGTTAAGCCAAATAGCAATTTTGCATCTTTTACAAATTAGGGGAGGGAGGATATAGCTCAGTGGCACAAGTGCCTATCTGGCCAGTGCAAGATCTTGAGTTCAATTCCCAATACCAATAAATAAATACATAAACAATTAGAAAGGTAGGTTCTTGGGACAGCTATAAGGAACTAACTATATCTAGAAGACATCCCTGAAAAACAGACATCTCCTTCTCTCCTTGAGGGAAGCCACAATACTAGTAATAAAGCTAAATACCATTAGAAATTGGCATGCATCAACATAGAAAACAAAATAAAAGAAAAAGAGAAAATGACAAGATGCA